GTGAGGGATGTCCTATTGTCTACAGGTGGGTTTGAGGTTGGTTGTGCTTCTAAAAGATGCTGAGGACTCCCTGGTGAACAAGACCCACCCACCTGATTTCCTGGGGTCTGGGCTCCTCTGGCAATTACTGTTGGTTTTAGGTGCCGTCGGGCCAGTTCAGGCCCATACGACCCTGTACACAGCAGAACGAAGCAGTGTCAGGCCTGTGCCTTCCTCACTGTGGTTCCTACCCTGCAGCCCTTCTTGGTAAGGACCTTCCTCTTTCCACTGCCCCTCTGCCAGACATGATGACCTTCTCCAGGACTGGTCTCTCCTGAGGATGTGCCCAGAGTATGTAGAAGAACTCCCACCATCCTTGCCTTTAAGGAGCATGCTGGCCTTACTTTTTGCAAGACACATGGGTTTGTCCCCAATACCCTGCATGTCACTCTTGACCTTCTGGTGACTTTCAATATTCTTCTCCAGCACCACCGTTCAAATGCATCGATCTTCTTCAGTCTTGATTCAGTGTCCAACTTTCACGTGCTTCTGAGGCAATTGAAAAGACCACGGCTTGGGTCAGGCTCACCTTAGTCCTCAAAGTAACATCCCTGCTTTCTAATACTCTTCAGTAGAGTTCTTGGGCGGCGGGTATTCGTGCAGCAGGGACTTGTGTTGGCAAATAACAGAAAAGTGGGGTCTTGACTCAGGGGGTGGGGGGGCTTCTGTTCTTCATCTTTTGAGTGTGGGGTCTTCAACCCCCCGCATGTCACTCTTGACCTTCTGGTGACTTCTGACAGAGCGAGTGGCTCATTTTTCATCCTCACCTCCCACTGGACTGTTTGGAGAGATAAGTTCTGACAAACGCCCTTGGTACCAGCAACACCCTGGTTTGATCTCTCTGCGCTTGTGCTTGGGCTGAATCCTCACCCCTTCGCCCCCCTCTCCCAGGAAGGCCTCCGCCAAGACCTAGGCCTGGCCCAAACACCATCCCCTCCTCCAAACACCATCTCCCCCCATACCAACACCCCCCCCCCCGCCTGATACCACCCCTTCCCCAAATCCCCATCCTCTCCCCCCCCAGTGTCTTTTCAGTGTTCTTGCTCCCCGACCCCCAGGTCATTGCTATTTTGGTCCTTAGCGGTCAAATCAATACAACCTACGATAACCCCATGGCCGCAGAGCGGATGGAACGGGGCCTGGTCCTGCAGCCATGCCATCTTCATGAGGGTGGGCACGCCCGTCGTCGTTGTGACCACTGTGTGTTTTGAGGGTCTTCCATCCTAGGGCCACATCACCTTCCAGCACGACCTTGAACCGTACTCTGTTGTGAGCCACAGGGTTTTCATTGGCTGATTTCTGGAAGATGATTTCCAACTCCTTCTTGGCAATGTGTCTTCCTCTGGAAGCTCTGCCTGCAAGGGGGCTGGCGGGGGGCGTTGTCTTCCCCCTCCACGTGGGCTGGAGAGGCCCTGCCCTTCCCAAGGGGGTTTTGGCCAACACGTGGGTCCTGATGTTGTTTTCCCTTGTCTATTGGGCGCCGTGTTGCGTTTTGCTCTCTTCCTGTGTGGGGGTCATCTGTTTCGGAGTTGTCTGCCTTTCTGTGAGGACTCTGTAGCTGGGAGGAAGGTCCCTGGATGCTGAAAACAGCCCACACTTAACTCCTGCCCTGATGGGGCATTGGGTCCAGCATTAGTTGATGGTTCATACCCACCAGCCACTGCTCAGGAGCAAGTTGAGGCTGGCTGCTAACATAAAGATTCACAGCCCGGAAAATCCTATAGCGGGTTTCGGGCAGTTGGCATCCACTTGATGGCAGGAGGGTTTTGGGGGAAGGGACTGATGGAAAGGCGGGTTGAACTCCCCCAACAGCACCATGGGAGACATCCTCTGTAGATGTTGACAGTCAAGAACACCCTGCAGGACAGTTCTACCCGCAGCACTTGAGGTAGCCATGCGTCCGAATCCACTCGGCAGCTAGGAGGGTGTTTGCTCTTCTGACTTTCGTGTTTGGTTTGATTTGAAGTGAGAAGGGGAAGTTCCACAGAGCTGAGGTGCCCTCCCATTAAGACATTGGCCATTCCTGTCATGATTCCTCATGAACTGGAAGAAATGTGCAGTTCCCTGCTTCGAAAATGCACACCCAGACGGCGTGCAGAACTGAACTGCAGGAGGCCCCGGGAGGGAGAAGCTCTTTCATTCTCCGGGGAGGGGTTTATCTGCTTATTTATTTACGTGACCACCACTGAAGGCATTTGTTTCTCTCCCTCTAATGAAATCCTCTCCGCGGAGGTCCCGCGATGGGATGCGGCCAAGATCTGCCTCGTTAAACTGACATCAGGGCTCGGAGCTGGGCAGTGGACCCAGAGGACCGGCTGCTAGTACCGGGTGACGGGGAGGTGGACGTGGCTGTTAATTTGCACTTGAAGCCACCACATGCGCCATCTGTTAGAGGAGGCTGGAGACACAGGCTGGGAGCACTTTAGGCGACCGCTGTCACAGAACCTGCAGGAAGGCTGACTGCCGTTCCAGCCATCCTGCTGTGTGTGGCAGGTGCTAGCAGATGCCCATCTGCACAAACCTGGGACAAACCGAGGCGCCTGAGGGGTTCAGAGTGAGACCCAATGATGGGCTTAAACATCCTGGGTTCGAATCCTGCCTCTACCCCTTGTTGTCCAAAACAAGTTCAGTAATGTCCCTAAACTGAGTTTTCTCAGTGGTGACATGGGGATACTGGGAATACTTTGCTCGGAGGTCTGTTAGTCAGAGAAAGCACTGTAATTTGGTCCTTTTGCAGAATTTAGCGAAGGAACTCTTTCCCCAGACAGCGATGCATCTGTCACCACCTCTAGGGCCAAGCGTGTGAGGCAGGAGCTGGGGCCCAGAACCCAGAGGCACAGGGTCCCAGCCAGAGCTTGCAGCGTCCCCCTCCTTCCCTCCCTCCCTCCCTCCCTCCCTCCCTCCAGGTGCTGCTGGACCTTGCACAGGCCTGAGGCGGGGAAACCTGCTCACTATGGTCATATGGGTCAGGGTCCAGGGCACAGGGAAGGGGGACTAGATCTGGAGGGGCAAACCCAAATTCCTGAGCCCTGAGAGGTACGCCAAGATAGAACAAGACATTCTCTGGCTAGGGCTTGACAACAACCCATCCAATGTGGTCATGTGGGCCCAGTGGGCCATGGCTTGTGATAGTGGTGATGATGAAGATGCTTGCTGAGGGCCCTCCTGGGGCTGGGCCACCCCGCTCTGGCTGTCCCTCACACTCGTGTGAGAGGAGACTTGGACGATGGAATGTGGCCTCCCATTGCTCCATCTCTGTGTCTCCGTCTCCTAGAGCTGTCAGAACAAAACATTGCAAAGTGGGTGATGCATCAGAACAGAATTGTCAGTCACTGTCCCAGGGCCCCACAAGTCCACATTCAGGGCACCTGCAGGGGCACCTGTCTCTCTCCACTCTAGAGGAAGCGCCTTCCTGGTTTCTTCTGGGGTTAGCCCCAAGAATTTTTGGGTGTTCCTTAGCGCTGCTAGGCATTTGGATGCCTCTTCTCATGTCTTCCCTAGTCTGACTCTCTGCTGGCTATTTCCCCTTCAATTTGGTGCCACACCGAAGGGATCGGGGGTCCATCCTACTCCAGGATGAGCTCCTGTTAACTGATTTCACCTTCAAAGATAAAGAACCGATTTCCAAAGCAGGTCACCTTCCCTGGAACAGGAGCTAGGAGGTCCACATCATCAATTTGGGGGTGTCACAATTCAGTCAGTATGGGGACAGTGCTTTGGGAATCCAGGCCGAGTGACTGTGGGGTCGCGGGGAGGAAGACCACGACTGTCTTCCAGCATCACAGTTTTCTCTTTCTGGCCGTAGGAGAGACCCTGCTGGCAAGACCTGGCCCTGTGAGGAGACCCCGCGCCTGACCGCTGCTGGGACCACGAGGACCCAGCTCTGAAATGAAAGCCATGCCTTGGAACTGGGCCTGCCTGCTGCCCCATCTCCTGATGGTGGGCATGGGTTCCTCCACGCTCTTGTCCCGGCAGCCTCCCTCGCTCGCCCAGAAGCGGCCTCTTGTCACCTTCCGAGGGGAGCCCACAGAGGGCTTCAACCACCTGGTGGTGGACGAGAGGACAGGCCACATTTACTTGGGGGCTGTCAACCGGATCTACAAGCTCTCCAGTGACCTGAAGGTCCTGGTGACTCACCAGACAGGGCCGGACGAGGACAATCCCAAGTGCTACCCTCCCCGGATTGTCCAGACCTGCAACGAGCCCCTGTCCACCACCAACAATGTCAACAAGATGCTACTCATAGACTACAAGGAAAACAGGCTGATCGCCTGCGGGAGCCTCTACCAGGGCATCTGCAAGCTCCTGCGGCTGGAGGACCTCTTCAAACTGGGGGAGCCCTTTCACAAGAAGGAGCACTACCTGTCGGGGGTCAATGAGAGCGGCTCCGTCTTCGGGGTGATCGTCTCCTACAGCAACCTGGACGACAAGCTCTTCATCGCCACGGCCGTGGACGGGAAGCCCGAGTACTTCCCCACCATCTCCAGCCGCAAGCTGACCAAGAACTCGGAGGCGGACGGCATGTTCGCGTACGTCTTCCACGATGAGTTCGTGGCCTCCATGATCAAGATCCCTTCGGACACCTTCACCGTCATCCCGGACTTCGACATCTACTACGTCTACGGCTTCAGCAGCGGCAACTTCGTGTACTTCCTGACCCTGCAGCCCGAGATGGTGTCCCCCCCGGGCTCCACCACCAAGGAGCAGGTCTACACGTCCAAGCTGGTGAGGCTCTGCAAGGAGGACACCGCCTTCAACTCCTACGTGGAGGTGCCCATTGGCTGCGAGCACAGCGGGGTGGAGTACCGCCTGCTGCAGGCCGCCTACCTGTCCAAAGCGGGGGCGGTGCTGGCCCGGACCCTCAGGGTCCGTTCCGACGACGACCTCCTCTTCACGGTCTTCTCCAAGGGCCAGAAGCGCAAGATGAAGTCCCTGGACCAGTCGGCCCTGTGCATCTTCATCTTGAAGCAGATCAACGACCGTATCAAGGAGCGCCTGCAGTCCTGCTACCGTGGCGAGGGCACGCTGGACCTGGCCTGGCTCAAGGTCAAGGACATCCCCTGCAGCAGCGCGGTGAGTGCGGGGCAGCGAGGGTGTCTAGACCCCCTGGGGGTGTATCCATCTTCCATCCTGCAGTGGGGTTGGGGAGACACCTGGATAGCCCTTCTCTGGGCCTTCGCAGGCTGGGATCACCACGGGAGCAGACATCCTGAGACCGTGACACTGAGCTCCTAAGAGTTCGAGCGAGAGCAACGCAACCACGTCCCCCCTTTCTCCCACTTTGCTCTGCTCGTGCCGGCTCCCCCGGTTATAAGAGGGAGTGCTAGGCATAGGTGGGAATCGTGTTAGGTAGATGTCGTATGCGCCAGACATTGCTGAAGGGAAGACTCCGGTTTGGGGGAGTATAGAACATGCACCCACCCTTGTCACGCACCAAGCTTAGATGGAATCCATGAGGGACAGAAGAGTGTGTGTTCCCCACTGCACATTTGGGGGTAGGGATGGACTGCCACGGAAGGTAAGAGTTTCTTTCTATACAGTTTTGTCGTGGTGCAATTATATACAACACTGAACACCAAATACCCTGCCATCGAGTTGACCCTGACTCATAGTGAGCGACCCTATAGGAAGGGGGTAGAACTGCCCCCATGAGTTTCTGAGACTGTCAATCTTGACAGGAGTAGAAAGCCCCATCTTTGTCCTGTGGAGCGGCCGATAGTTTGAAACTGCTGACCTTGCGGTTAGCAGCCCAATGCGTAACCACTACACCACCAGGGCTCCTGGTGTATGGGACACAATATTCGTCGCCAGCTGAACGGTTTTCACATATACAATCAATGACGCTGACTGCATTCATCGTCGTGCAATGGCCACCCATCTGCATTGTCAATGTCCCTATCTCTCCGAACAGATCCTTGATGCTCCCTAAGCCCCGAGGGGTCTTATGTTTGCAATCAGTGGTGCCCAGTGGGGACAGAAGTAGGGGGAGAGCCTAGTGAACACAGAAGGAGGGAAGAGTAGAGCTGGCTTCGGGAGGGGTGGGGAGGGGAAAGGCTGGGCTTGTTAAGCATCTTCTGTGTGGACAATTCCATGGGTGATGCCTGTCACAAGACAGGAAGTAGCCAGAGATCAGTGCTGGGTGGCAGGCGGGAGTGATGATGAAGAGATGTCTAGGACAGACAGACCTGATCCCAGTGCTGCCTTGCTGGGGAGACCAGGTGAGACAAGTGACCTAATGCCTGGTCTCCGGAGGCCAGCCTCACTCAGGTGTAACTCAACATGAGAAGCCTCCGCCTTCCGACCGTTTGAGTTGTGTTCATCGTCAAAATGGTACCACCGTTTCTCCATCCTTCGGAGCCCTGGAGCCACAGTGGTTACTTGTTGGACTGCTAACGGCAAGGTCAGCAGTTTGAAACCACCAACCGCTTCTCAGGAGGAAGACCGGGCTTTCTGCTGCTGTAGAGAGTTACAGTCTCAGAAACCCACGGGGGCGGCTCTGCCGCATCCTAGAGGGTTGCTATGAGTTGGAATTGACGCAGGGGCAGTGAGTGAGTATTTGCCCACTGGAGGGGAATATGCAGTTGTTGACTCTGGGTCAAATTCTGGTGGAATGCCATACTAGGAGATATGGTTGAGCTGATTTAATAAGATAGAAGATTTTCTCCCTCACATACACTGTGCCAGGCAGACCTCAGGGGCCACTGGCAATGAGCCCACCCTGTGTGCCTTGGGATTCGGCTTGGGGAGGGGGAGGAAGCAGAGGAGGCTCTCTGCATTCTGCCATTGCAGCTCTGCCTTTAAGGCCCAGGCTGCTTTGCTGGCATGTGGACAGAAGTTAAAAGATGTCATCCCTTTTGGGGGGGATCCTGGGAAGCCAGGACTGCCCCAGAGGACATGGAAGGGGACTATATGGGCCGATGAAGGAAGCAGTGAATGGGCCATTCGGAGCCAGGCTAGAGAAGCCAGGGCACCGCTGACATCTGCTGACCTCACAGGTGAACTCTTCACGGTCTCCTGGGACTTTCCTTTGGGGTGTCATCCGGTCACTCAGTAGCTATGGGGCAGATAGGAATTTGGGGGGCCATGGTCTGCTCCCACAATATAGCAATGAAGGACAGGCCTTATGCTCTGCTGTGTGTACATGTCCCAGGGACACATTAAGATGCCGGTGGGGAGGTGGCCCTTAGCTGGTCCTGGCGGCTGAGCACCCCGAAGTGGTTCAAATGAATGAATTGCTCAGGGTTCCACATCAAGCCAGCTTTTAGGGAGACTTCCTCCTGCCTTTCAATAGCACATATGCACATGTACACAAACAACACACATGCACAAGCCCAGTGAATACATAGGCACAGAAACAGGCACATATGTGTACACACACCACACATACATGCATGTACATGTAAATGCACACACACATACTCACATGCACATACTTGTGCACACATGAGTATGCCCATACACACAGGTGCACACACAGGTATATATGTGTGCACATGTGAGTGCTCAGGCCATGCATGGCACACATGTAAAGACATTTGCACATGCACACAAAAACATGCGAACACACATGTATATGCACACATAACACATACACATGTGCACATACACATAGACGTTTGCGTGTGCACACACACAGATGCCACAGGCATGCTCTCATGTGCCCTTGTTAGGAATTGGTGACGTGCGTCTGGGCCTACAAAACCGAAGCTTACCCTTCTGAGCCAAGAGGTAGGGCTGGCTCTCTGACACTTTCCAGGATTAACCTGTCTTTTGGGGTGATGCTTTTGGGCACAGCCTCCACTGCAGGCTGTGGGTGGGCAGGTGTGTGTCTTACTTGCTTGCTATCTGCCACCGCACACAAAGTTGGGCTGGCCATGGACGTCTGCAGAGAGACAGGTCCTGACACTGTGTGGTTCCCTCCGAGGGAACAGAGAGAGCACAGCTTGGCCGACAGGCGGCTGCCAGGCCTGGGAGCCCTGGAGCCAGATAACAGGCTTTTGATTTTTCTTTGGGCTTAATTAGCCCTTTCAAACCAGAGGCCAGTTCAGGGCTGAGGAGAGAATGGCGGAGGCCAGAATCGTGGCCCAGGGCTCCGCAGGCTCTCCAGCCAGGCTGCAAAGGGCTGGCCCGCCGTGAGCCCAGGGTCTGCTTCCTTTGGTTCAGTGATGCCCTGCTCCTCTGCTCCTGCGCTCCTGGGGCAGTGCAGGGGGACTCAGTGCAGGCCATAGATGCACTGACAGCGGCCAGGTGAGCTGCTAAGATGCTCAGGTGCCCAGGCTGGCTTCTGGGGCCCCAGGGTCACATTTCTCCCTGCTCTGAGCTCCTGGGCTGCCTGCTGACCACTTGGTGAGCTCCAACACCCCCTGGGCTGTGGTCAGCAGCAGGATGGGGTGGTGTGGAGCTGGATACCAGTGTGATATGGCCGAGTATGCTGTGGAACATCCCTGGAGCTCCAGATGGGCCTGAGCTTGGTGGCCAAGGGAGACACGCTGGGCCCCCACAAGCGCTCAGGGAGCTCCCATTCTTATTCCAGATTTGTGGAAAGGCCACCAGCCCACCGGGTATGTCAGGGTATAACTGTGCTCCGTATGGTTGGCTTTTGAATATTAGAATGTCAGCCCTCTCTTCCAGTGCACCTCTGGGTGGACTCATACTGCCACAGAAAGAGTAGGCAGCACCTCACATTGAAGGACCGGAAGAAACACGGACCCACCAAGGCATACACTCAGGGCCACCCAGTCCACCAACTTGCTTCTACCCAGGTCCTCAGCCTCATCCTTGGATGCGTGAGAACATGGGAAACTGCTCTCCACTGATCAGCATGTAAGCACAAGTAAGCCCGTGCTTGCTTGACTGACTGGGTGTTCCGTCCCCATCAGGGATTGGTACTGTAGGGCACCCATCAGGCTCTGGTGCTGTAGGAAAGGTGCTGCTGGGCAGGTGCTGCGGGGTTGGGAGAGAGACAGCTGCCAGCCAGACCCAGTAGCAGAATCTCTGACGTAGTGCAAACACGTGATGCTGTTGATGACAGGTTAGTAAGTATGCACAAGGCAACGCGTGCTTACCTGCATGTGGGCTACTCTGAAACTGCTGCCTACCTCTCAGCTTTTGGGTGGGGCATCTCACGGTGCAGGGGCTGGAGTCCTGGGCTTCGGACCCGACGGCCCTGGAAGAATGAGAACAGCTGGGGCCTCTTAGCTGCCGTTGGTTGAGAACCTCCTCTGGCGGAAAAGCTTCTCTGACATTAAGGTTTGGAGTTTCTGCAAAGAATTGGGAACTTCACCTTGTGCCCCACAGGGAGCCTCACTGGTGGGGAAGGAGAGTCCCCGTGGTGTGCCCCTGTCGCTTCTTGGGCTCACCAGTTCCCCAGCCGGGCAGTCCTAAGGCAGGTCACACCTGGGACAGGCTGGCATGAGCATCCCCTGGATTGTCACCCAGGCTCTTGGCACCTCCAGTTCGGACAGCCGTGAGGGTGAGCGCCTAGGCCGGCCCGTCCGGGCCACGCGGCCCCCAGGCTTGGACACAGGTTCCTGCATCTGCTGCCTATTGTGTTTGCTTCTCCTGGTCCCCAGAGAGCTTGACCCGGGGTCAGCGGGGCTTATCCTGTTGTTGGTAGCTGGCCGGTGAGGCTATCTCCTGCCCAGCTTATGGCCTCCATTGGGCTAAGGACACCTCCAGATCCTGCCCCAGGGGGGAAAAAACCCCAAAGACCTCAGGGAGGTGAATTCACAAAAGGAAATGAGCCACGCTCGGTGTTATGTACCCACCCTATCTATCTATCTATCTGTCTATCTCTGTGGTTCCACATCTCCATCACCCTGAAGTCAAACTTGGGTCCCCTCTGCAGTTACTTCCCATCCTCTCAGCCCCCAAGTCGCCACCAGTCTGCTTTCTGTCTCTGTGGATGACTCTCTTCTGAGAAGACCTCCAAAGGGCTTCCTATGAGACCTGGATTTCTGGGCCTTGTTTTTCCCATGTGGGGTCATGTGTTTGAGGTTTATCCACATCACAGTATGTATCGGTTGTGGTTCCCACCCCAGCAGAGAGGTGCACGTGGCGAGCAGGGCCACACA